AGTTAATATATCTGGGTTAATGTTATTTTAATAAGATATTTATTCAGTTGAAAAATCTGTCAAATTAAACCTCTTGTAATCATTTATTCACATTGCATGGCTACTGCATGGTTTGCATATAAGGGGCATCAGTATTAAGCAGTAAACTTAAGTAAACAAGACGTCAACAGTTACAGATATAATATTTTGTAAACGTCAGAAACCTTCAAATGCAGATCTTTCAGTACTCGGTGGAATAGAAAGGCATTTACGGAATGTTCCTTTCAAAAGTTTAGTCATTGTAAGGCAACACATTTAATTACCTTCCTCTAAGAATGAACTTAAGAGTGCAGACAGCTCAGGCGAACATGAAACAACTGAGGAAGCATCTGTGGCTGACACACCCTCCCCTGTTTGTGATGAGGCTGCTGATTGGCTGCCCTCACTTTCACCTGGCTGTATCCTCGTCTCACATTGGCCACTGCCACCCATAGAGGTTGCAGAGCTTGCTTCAGATTGGCTAACAAGGATTTGGGTTTGACCTGGTCGTTGGGCAGGAATTGGGGATAAGTACAAATTCAAATCAGGAGAATCATTCAATTCAAGTCCAGAAAGAAACAGTGCTAGGGCTAGTGACAGCTAATGCTATGTATACAAACATATTGAACAACTGGAGCATGAATTTCCGTCCCACTGAAACACAAGAAGCGGGGATATAAGGACACACAAAGCAAGCAAGGGAGGGAGGTCTCAAGCAGCATCCACAGGGGATAGCTAATGCTATGTATACAAACATATTGAACAACTGGAGCATGAATTTCCGTCCCACTGAAACACAAGAAGCGGGGATATAAGGACACACAAAGCAAGCAAGGGAGGGAGGTCTCAAGCAGCATCCACAGGGGATAAAAGTACGCTTCCATCAATGGGGATCTCATGCCCTGCGATGACAGGTTAAAGATAACACAGGGTAATATGGCTATTAATCACTACACACGTTCTATTATTACAATGTTATTTCGTCATGACAGTAATACAGATACAGGATGAAAAGAATGTAGAATGAAAGTCTTAAATATGTTGTCATTTAAGTTACTCAATGCTATTGCTCATTTGATCTAGTTTTGTAACGATACGGCAATACAGTATTGTCTCACAATATGAGGCCCACGAAACAATACATCGATTTTCAAACCCTCTATCACCATAAATACGTTACGTTACATTACATTACAAGTTATATTTGCAAAAAACACACCTGAATGATAACTGTTCATCAACCAGCTAATGCAGATTCCCAGTTTGGCTATATTTGGCACAACATTTACAGTGCCCTCTGGCCTATATGTTTCTGCCCTACAATATCCCATTTTGATCTCTGAAATTTTAAACATGATTCATGTATGTGATTCACATGCCAAAAGAAAGAATATCATCTTTTGAAACAAAAGTGCCGTATCGGGATACAAATCGTATCGCACCCATTGTATTGGGATATGTATCGTATCGCGACCCAATCATATCGTTACACCTCTAATTTGATCATGTATCAACACAACCCATGATCCTCAACAGATATTCAAGTAGAAAGGAAAGAAATTAGTATTTCAAAGTAAAGCACTTACCACTACCACCACCACCACAAAACACACAATTAACATGAATGAGTGAGAGAATTAGATTCTACATCAACCTGTTTCTGTTGTTAGTGAGTTGGTATTGTGGCTGCTTGAAAAGACCATGGCATATATCTTGGCGTGTTAGCTTAGTCTTAGATAATTGCCTTGGCCACTTGTAGGATGTTACCCAGGCATGTCATTTAAGGGTGACAAAAAAGATTGAATAGCCAGTAATTTCTAAAGCTTTTAAACTTTTCTTTCCAAGAAAACTATTGAATTGAGATAAACACTATGGAATTTCACTTCCCAAGGGTCATAACCAAATCGAACCTTTGATCAACTGATCTGGATGGAGCTAAGGGACAAAACTCAGTCATGCCTAGTTATTCAGCCTTGCATCAAAAACTAGGTAATGATGGAGACCACAAATTTTGTTGCCTTTTGTAACAAGAATTGGGCACTGGGTGCGAAGCTATTCCACTGTGTCCATGATCACAACATCAAAGGAAGATACACAGCTCCTTAGGCTAGACATTCTGCATGACAAGGATTCATTACTCGGTTTGGTGTCTGTTGCAAAATTAATCTCTCAATATCCACATCAATCTCTTCACTCACTCACAAATGCATGTTAGTATATCGTGGAATGAAGCAGCACAACGCCCACAAAATCAGACCCTCCATGCAATTTAAGTTCAAGTCATGCAATGCAAGTTCAAGTTGTGCAGCTAATAAGTTAAAGGTGCTGTGTAAGTGAACATCTGTTTCTGAAGTTGAAAAGCACGATTCTTCCTACGAACACAGCTGGTGGTCAACATACACACATCAGTAAGTCAATTGATCAATGTATGTCTAACTCATGTTGATCAACTAAAAACTAACAAAAGCATTTTCTTCATGATTTGGAGAAAGTTTCTTTGGAAGTAACTGTTTCTATATGGTGAAGCTTGTCACAAAACACAGTTGGATCACACATGTTACTGCACACTCTGACCAACAGGTCATAATAATTTCAGTTGAGACTTACCTCCGGTAGCATCGTCGTGAGAAAATATAACAGGTGTATCCATTTCATTTGAAATCCTCTCTGAAAACTCAGAATCTCGGGCTAAGCTCACACCCTAAAACCACAACAACAAAACCTTGTCAGTTCTTTCAACACTAAAATCTTTATAAAATAAGATAAATTTGTTTGTTTCTTTGTTGTATAAACTTGATGGATCCAGAAGAACGTTAATGTGTGTTTAGACTTAATATATTTTAGACCCATGAAGATTCGGGGTGGAATAGGTCTTTGGAACTCATGCTTGCCGTAAAGGCGACTAAGTGGATCGGGTGGTCTGGCTCGCTGACTTGGTTGATGCATATCATCGTATTCCAGTTACATGGATCGATGCTCATGACGTCACTGGATTGTCTGGTCCAGACTCGATTATTTACAGATCGCCGTCATATAGCTGGAATATTGCTGAGTGCGGCGTTAAACAACAAAGAAACAAACAAATATATCTTATTTTATATAGGTTTTAGTGTTGAAAGAACTGACAAGGTTTTGTTGTTGTGGTTTTAGGGTGTGAGCTTAGCCCGAGATTCTGAGTTGTCAGAGAGGATTTCAAATGAAATGGATACACCTGTTATATTTTCTCACGACGATGCTACCGGAATGGTCAGAGTGTGCAGTAACATGTGTGATCCAACTGTGTTTTGTGACAAGCTTCACCATATAGAAACAGTTACTTCCAAAGAAACTTTCTCCAAATCATGAAGAAAATGCTTTTGTTAGTTTTTAGTTGATCAAGATGAGTTAGACATACATTGATCAATTGACTTACTGATGTGTGTATGTTGACCACCAGCTGTGTTCGTAGGAAGAATCGTGCTTTTCAACTTCAGAAACAGATGTTCACTTACACAGCACCTTTAACTTATTAGCTGCACAACTTGAACTTGCATTGCATGACTTGAACTTAAATTGCATGGAGGGTCTGATTTTGTGGGCGTTGTGCTGCTTCATTCCACGATATACTAACATGCATTTGTGAGTGAGTGAAGAGATTGATGTGGATATTGAGAGATTAATTTTGCAACAGACACCAAACCGAGGAATGAATCCTTGTCATGCAGAATGTCTAGCCTAAGGAGCTGTGTATCTTCCTTTGATGTTGTGATCATGGACACAGTGGAATAGCTTCGCACACAGTGCCCAATTCTTGTTACAAAAGGAAACAAAATTTGTGGTCTCCATCATTACCTAGTTTTTGATGCAAGGCTGAATAACTAGGCATGACTGAGTTTTGTCCCTTAGCTCCATCCAGATCAGTTGATCAAAGGTTCGATTTGGTTATGACCCTTGGGAAGTGAAATTCCATAGTGTTTATCTCAATTCAATAGTTTTCTTGGAAAGAAAAGTTTAAAAGCTTTAGAAATTACTGGCTATTCAATCTTTTTTGTCACCCTTAAATGACATGCCTGGGTAACATCCTACAAGTGGCCAAGGCAATTATCTAAGACTAAGCTAACACGCCAAGATATATGCCATGGTCTTTTCAAGCAGCCACAATACCAACTCACTAACAACAGAAACAGGTTGATGTAGAATCTAATTCTCTCACTCATTCATGTTAATTGTGTGTTTTGTGGTGGTGGTGGTAGTGGTAAGTGCTTTACTTTGAAATACTAATTTCTTTCCTTTCTACTTGAATATCTGTTGAGGATCATGGGTTGTGTTGATACATGATCAAATTAGAGGTGTAACGATATGATTGGGTCGCGATACGATACATATCCCAATACAATGGGTGCGATACGATTTGTATCCCGATACGGCACTTTTGTTTCAAAAGATGATATTCTTTCTTTTGGCATGTGAATCACATACATGAATCATGTTTAAAATTTCAGAGATCAAAATGGGATATTGTAGGGCAGAAACATATAGGCCAGAGGGCACTGTAAATGTTGTGCCAAATATAGCCAAACTGGGAATCTGCATTAGCTGGTTGATGAACAGTTATCATTCAGGTGTGTTTTTTGCAAATATAACTTGTAATGTAATGTAACGTAACGTATTTATGGTGATAGAGGGTTTGAAAATCGATGTATTGTTTCGTGGGCCTCATATTGTGAGACAATACTGTATTGCCGTATCGTTACAAAACTAGATCAAATGAGCAATAGCATTGAGTAACTTAAATGACAACATATTTAAGACTTTCATTCTACATTCTTTTCATCCTGTATCTGTATTACTGTCATGACGAAATAACATTGTAATAATAGAACGTGTGTAGTGATTAATAGCCATATTACCCTGTGTTATCTTTAACCTGTCATCGCAGGGCATGAGATCCCCATTGATGGAAGCGTACTTTTATCCCCTGTGGATGATGCTTGAGACCTCCCTCCCTTGCTTGCTTTGTGTGTCCTTATATCCCCGCTTCTTGTGTTTCAGTGGGACGGAAATTCATGCTCCAGTTGTTCAATATGTTTGTATACATAGCATTAGCTGTCACTAGCCCTAGCACTGTTTCTTTCTGGACTTGAATTGAATGATTCTCCTGATTTGAATTTGTACTTATCCCCAATTCCTGCCCAACGACCAGGTCAAACCCAAATCCTTGTTAGCCAATCTGAAGCAAGCTCTGCAACCTCTATGGGTGGCAGTGGCCAATGTGAGACGAGGATACAGCCAGGTGAAAGTGAGGGCAGCCAATCAGCAGCCTCATCACAAACAGGGGAGGGTGTGTCAGCCACAGATGCTTCCTCAGTTGTTTCATGTTCGCCTGAGCTGTCTGCACTCTTAAGTTCATTCTTAGAGGAAGGTAATTAAATGTGTTGCCTTACAATGACTAAACTTTTGAAAGGAACATTCCGTAAATGCCTTTCTATTCCACCGAGTACTGAAAGATCTGCATTTGAAGGTTTCTGACGTTTACAAAATATTATATCTGTAACTGTTGACGTCTTGTTTACTTAAGTTTACTGCTTAATACTGATGCCCCTTATATGCAAACCATGCAGTAGCCATGCAATGTGAATAAATGATTACAAGAGGTTTAATTTGACAGATTTTTCAACTGAATAAATATCTTATTAAAATAACATTAACCCAGATATATTAACTAATCATTGTTTTAATGTTTTCAGACTAGAAAATATGAAGAAAAAGAAGAATTAGGCAAATTGGAATATATGTGTGTACAAAGTGAAAGAATATTTCTGGACAATAAATGAAAGGTTTTGTTGCCACCTGACAGACCTGGTGAACAAATTGTTTTTTAGTTGCTTGGCAACCCAATGTCCACACTAAGTTGCCATGCAGTAATGATATCACAAATCATGAAATTTGGTGCCTGTGTCCATACATGTGTGCGGAATGTTTTGAACCTGAACTTGCAGGCATTTTGCCCTTGCTGTACATGATGGAAAAGGCGAAATAGTTAAAGATTATTATCTCACAGTGTTATTACATCAGTGTCATTAATATGAATAATTAGATTAGCAAGATGGTATTATATCCAAGGATTTCTTTGTCATCTTTTATAGAAGTGCATTTTATGTTTCATCAAAATGACATAGTGCTAATTCAAGAATGGTATATCTAGCTAAGCTTCTGAATTTCACACATCATACAAGTAATTCAAGGAATTTTCTGTTGCAAATATCAGGTCAGCATCCTCATCAACATTCATCCAACATATGTATTGCTTGAAAAAACATTGTTGTAAATACATGAATAAATATCCCTGTTGTTACTGTTTACTGAATCATATTTTGGTATTCTATTATGCAAAGAAGAAAAGCGTGTGCAAGTGACAGGTTTATTTGTATTGCAGACCTTTGCCCCAAAGTACTGCATATACAAAACATTTACAGTGGGTTGATATTCATTATGATACACAAATAACACACGTTAATGGGCACATTTCATGTAATTACACTTCCCAATAGTTATATTGGTAAATTCCTTTTTAGGTGTAAGACATATCTCTACTAGGATAGGTAAAATCAAGTGGTATAAAGTTTTTTTTGATGGCATTGATGGGGACATACAAGGAATAAATGGAACCCGTCTTCAGTACAATTGCCATTACAATGTGTGCATAACAACATTTTTGGATCAATTTGCATCGTTTCAACTTATGGGACGATGAACGAAACCTACAAAATAATCGCAATGAATCCTTACAATTAAATAATTCAGTTTTACATATTTTTCAACTTCTAGGACACTTATAACCACTATACAAATTCAAAAAGGAAGATCTTGAAATCTTATCATGCCAATTCTGAAACGATATAGTAGCATAGGTAATGCGGGTTCTGGCTCACTTCAACTTGAGCCAGATTTATATACCTATACCACTACTACAGAGGGATTTTTTTATGTCAAGAGGGCTTCTTTTTCTTCTTTGGCACCACCAATTTCGGCACCCCCTACAATATCTTTTTCCACTAGAGCAATAGGATGTGCACAAAGCATACAACTGTGCCCAACGAATTCCCAATTGAACATTTGTGCCCAAGTACAGTATAGAACAAAAGTGGAAGAAGCGAAATATACAACTATGGAGATCATAGTATATTTCTCTACAAGCATTTGCTTGCTTTTCCTAGGATCGCATTATCGTTTTTGCATAAAAAATCCCTCTGTTATAGTGGTATAGGTATCTAAATCTGACTCCAGTGGAAGTGAGCCAGAACCCCTATTACCTATACTACTGATATCCTTACATCTTTGCTTGAACATATTAAGATATATATTGAGTAAGCCAGACATGAAAAACCCTTCTTGAACATTAATTTAGGTACTAACATATGAGAGACCCAGTTTATTTTCCCATCATCATCAAAGCGGCTCAGCATCTTGTAAGTCTACACCAATAACCTATGCAACGACATAAGTGACTCCTTGACGACCGTTTGGAAACACCGAGACTAAGGTCTTAATTTTTTTATTTCTGCACCACACACTAAAATTTGTCATATCTTAGTATCAAATATTGTTTGAAAAGCATGAAAAGGCAAATTTTTAAAACTCCTCAATAGTCTATGAATAGGCATGCTAGATAGGGTTTCACAAGCGCTTGACCACACTAATCTCTGAGATAATAAACCTAGATATTTATGATAGGTTACAGTTTTCATTTCAACACCTGAAAACAGCCACTTTCTACACTGCGTAAGTAACCACCGTTTCTAAAAACTATTATGTTAGACTTATTCAAGAAAGCATTCTTGCAAAAACAGAAGCAGCCCATTCAGCACACTTTCCTCAAGGTCTCAGAAATTATGAACACCATCGTGCATATTCAACCTGATGCCATTACCTTTGGTTCAGGCAAAGGCATGCCTACCACAACCTCAAACAACATGCAATTACCAAGCCTAAAGTGATGGCATAAAACTGGAAGAAAATACAACTTGGGTTTTCCTGTTTAAAGCTGACCGCCTTGTTGATAGAGTGTCTGCCTGGAGAGAGAGTAAGGTGAGTGGTTGTGACATACCGGAAGAAGTGAAACTATTGTACTTGTCACCCTACCTGTCGCTGGGCATTAGTGGGATAAAACAAGGACTGTTTCGTATACTGTGTCAGTCATTATACTATGTGTGAGTGGGGTATCTCAGGTAGTTGGTACTATTGGACTGCCACACACATCACACTCATCACAGATACAACACATGCATGTCCCTATTTAAGTGCAGTAACCTTGAACACATGCACCATTTCACCCCACCCCCCTTTTCTGAAGCTTGTGACGTTAAACCTGCTCCAATATCATGAGCTGCAAGTGCTGTGTGAGTAACAACGTTTGAAGAAGCCACCATTATAATACTTCCGTTTTTAACAATGACCTTGAATCTTGATTTCTGCCAATCACATACTTAATTATTAACTGATGGAAACATGGGTATTAAAGTATTGTTGTAATTTTAGAAAAATGCTTTTTGCCCATTAGACGTGCTATTGAGATATCAAGAAAAAAAGTACCGATGTACCTGTCTGTTGTTTGAAGTACTTGTATTTCAGTAACAAGGAGTCCTACTGATCATTTTACAGGAGAAAGAATTGAAAGAAAACAGCAACTTCAGTTTTATTCAGATTTTATTAAGTCCAATGAGAAACGGGCAATAGAAGTATGCGCGTGGGACTCCGTTATGATAATGATGATAATGTAGTCTTCATAAAACATTTTACCCTCAAAAACCCAAATTGGAGAAAGGTCTAGATGTGTCTCTTAGAAAATAACAAAATGATGCTGCATTTGTTTTGTCATCACTGCTCCCATGATGCATGTTGGATTACATGTGCATAGCCATGACCATGGTACACCGCACGAGTCTGTAGTAGGAATGTATATAAGTTCTTTAAACTTGAGTGAGACAGAGGGAAACATTTTTCGTTTTAGGGTGTATTACAGAACTGCCCAAGCTCGGGGGCTTTCATACTCGCAAGTCTACGGTATGATTAATTAAAGGTAGGGGTCGTCTGTAAAAGATAATCGCGACGTAAAAGGATATTAGCTTAGATAAAGAGGTGATTAGGCATACATCTACCATAAGCCCCAGATCACGGTTCCGGCATGCACAACAATGACATGATTATGTTTACCTGATGGTAGCACGGTCCCGTTTCGTCCATCTGACAGCAGCAGCATGTAGTCAGTGGAATGATTCTTATTCTCCCAGGTTTCGTCAAGGTAAACGATCTGAAAGCACTGACTGCCATCGAAATCCCTTCTCCCGTAGTGCAATAATTATTGTAGTCTGCGAAACATTAATACACAAGCCTTATGAGCAGAATGTAGCCCCGACATGAAGTAGAATTCTGAAGGAAATTAAAAACCCAATTAATGTTTCAGGGACTACATTAATTATTGCACTACAGGAGAAGGGATTTCGATACACTGCACGTGTTGATGACCGAGCAGTTTTCAGGTGGAAATATTCCATCCTGTCTAGGACGTCTCACTATATCCGCATCATTCCTGACTATGGCAGTCAGAGCTTTCAGATCTGGGGCTTATGGTAGATTTGGGCTAGTTTTCTAGGAGAAAAAGAAGACTGGCGAGTATCACAAGGAAATGATTGGTGATGCGTTCAAAGACTGGTTGGAACATCAGCTACTGCAGTCTTAAGAACTCCAGTGTCATGTCATGGATAACGCCAGTCATCATTATGTTCGGAAACCAGATATTGTCTTGCCAACCATGTGTAGCCTAAAGGCGACTAAGCAAGAGTATTCTATATCTTGCAACATCGACTTCAGACCATCTGAAACGAAAGTTCAACTCCTGGAGAAAATTCGCCTGAATAAGAAACCAGTAGAAGTACAAGACAGATATCCCGGTGGTACAACACGATCACGTTGCCTTACGCACACCAGTCACACATTGCGAGCTCAACACTTTTGAGCCTATCTGGGCAAGCTGCAAGGTTCGTGGCATATCAAATCATTCAAACGCACACATGTCAAATGGTGACAAAGAAAGAGGCAACACATAAGTGCAAGGAGAGATAAGAGTTTATTTTTATATAGCATCGCCACGCTGAGATTGATCGTCACTACCGGAAGGCTAAGGCACACAGGACTGCAAGCCGTAGGTAACGTTGTTTCAGCGTCCTTCGGCATTACCTGAACTCTTGGGAGTCTGCTGGAGAACTCTGGGAAGGGGCTATTGGAGAGGTCTAGAAGTATCTCTGTCTGCGGTCTGGAGGTTTCTCCAAGTGTCTGCCTCTTTTGCCAAATCATCTCGCTCTTTATGCAGAGTTTTGATATTAAACTTTTGACTGCATAAGGATCGTTTCACGGCCACAATGTAGTAAACATCTTGTAATTGTCGACTGACTGACCGGTCACCTTTTTGCTTTGACCCATGGCCAGTCCGTACAGCGAGGTGAACAGAAAAATAAGACTTGGTTATATAATGATACTCCAAGCCGGTTTGTCAACAAGTTGTCCCCACCAGTTCTTGACACTAGGCAGCGACCTCTGTCAATTCGCAGCAACAAACGAGTTATGTTACACTTTGCTAGAATCACATCAGAGGCATTGCAATAGGCCCAAGGTCGCGTCCTTGAAATAGAACGTTGTTACCGACAACGTGACGCCGTAGATATCAGCCTTGTTTCACCAGTATCATACCTTTGGGTGATAGTACAGACTCAGATACGTCTTCAGTTCAGTCAGATGTTGGCTAAATAAATCATCTGTAGAACAACCAATTCTTCTTGATTCAAAAGCCCCCAACCATC